GACGGCCTGAGGAGGGTCACGCAGCAGTTCCTGGCGTGCGCGGGCGCCTTGCTGCCCCACTGCCTGGACCTGGAGGCCCTGGGCCGCTGCCTGGCTCGCCTGGCTCTCCTGGCGACCGCGGACAGGCCGCCGGTGACACGGAAGCTGCCCCGAGGCCTGCAGGGCGGCCAGCCCAACCTCATCAGCTGCGGCCGCGGGGAGGTGCTGCTGGCCGCCCTGGCTGTGTACATGCAGAGCCCGGAGCAGCCGCTGCCCACCTACGACGAGGTGCTGCTGTGCACCCCGGGGACCACGTTCGAGGAGGTGGCCCTGCTCCTGCGCCGGTGCCTGAGCCCCATCTCCCAGGGCCACGGCGTCTACAGCCTGCTCTACGCCGACCGGCTGAGCTACGAGGTGGCCAGCCGGGCCGAGGCCCTCTTCCTGAGCCTGGCCACCCAGTGGCACCGCGAGGACTACCGGCTGGTCATGATCTGTGACTGCGAGCGGGAGGACTGCCACCTCCCCTCGGCCTTCAGCCAGTACAGAGTCCCCGTCACCCCCCAGGTGCCCCTGGAGGACATCCAGGCCTACCTGGCGCGTCATTACCGGGTCCCGGCGCAGACCCCGTCAGCCGCTGCCGTGTTCAGGGACCGGATGTGCGTGGGGATCGTGGCCTCGGAGAGAGCGGGTGTCGGTAACGACAGCGTCTGGGGCGCCGGGGCCGCCTGCAGGCTCTTCCCTGTCGGGCTGGGCGGGGGGGTGGGAGGGGACTCGGACGAAGCTCTCCTGCAAGAAGGGAAACTGAGTCGCAGGGAGCTGTGGCTCCTCTGAAGTCGCAAACTAGAGAGACGCTGGGAGGGAACGCGCTCACCGGGTGGCAGCTGAGGCGGTTCCCGGGAGCCGGCCCACCGCCCCCTTGAAACGACTTTCTCCGAAGCTCCCTGGTTTTTGTGGTTGTTTTTTCCCCCATGGACTTTTAATTTTTTTAGAGAGTGAAGGCAGGGAGGGAGGGTGAGAGACAGACAGACAGAGAGGCACATCGGTTGCTTGCCTCCCGCAGACGCCCGACCCGCCACTGAGCCACTTGTGCCAGGGCTCGTGTGTTTTTTTAATTTTTATTTATTTTTTAAACATATCTTTATTGATTTCAGAGAGAGGACGGGAGAGGGAGAGAGAGAGAAACATCAATGACGAAAGAGTCATTGACCGGCTGCCTCCTGCTGGGGATCGAGCCCGCAACCCGGGCATGTGCCCTGACCGGGAATCGAACCCCGATCTCCTGGATCCTAGGTCGATGCTCAACCTCTGAGCCACGCCCGGCCGGACCCTGTGTTTTTTTAAAAAACTCCTTTGGCTGCTTCAGGTTGACGTAGGTCCTGAGAGCAAGAGGAGGTGAAATCTCTCTTGAGCAGATCCCTTCAGTCCGATGCGCGTTTCCGCCCCTGAGCCTTTGTCCCGTTCACGATTCTGCCCCCATACCCTCGCAAGCACATTCATATTGCGCCCCGGGTCCCAGGGAAACTGCGGGGACTGTGACCAGGGGACAGCGATGGAGGGGGAGGCCTTTCATGCCGGGTTCCGTTGCGTCGGTTTCGAATTTTGCACAGATTTTAAATTTTGACTTGCGCTCAATCTTCCTGGATCCTCTCATCCTTGGCCCGCAGCCCTGGCGCCTGATTTCCATATTTTAATGTTACAGGGAAGTCTCTCTACGTGAAGAGATTGCATGAATCTCTGCAACAGAAGTTTCCTGGGGAAAACATACCTCTCAAAATTATTCGACTGATCGACCCTCAGATAGACGAGACTGAGGTCCTGGGCTCGCTGCTGCCGTTCCTGGGCTCCCAGCATCAGACGAGGCCCATGATATTCCACTTGGACGTGACCTCCTCTGTGAGTGCCCTGGGGACTCAGCCAGCAGGTGGCTCCTGTGTCCCGTTCCCCCTCCTCCCCAGCACAAAGAACTTCTTTTTCTTTAAAAAAAAAAAAAATAATAAGTTTTTATTGATTTCAGAGAGGAAGGGAGAGAGAGAAAGAGAGAAACATCAATGAGAGTCATTGATCGGCTGCCTCCTGCGTGCCCCCTGCTGGGGATCGAGGAGCCTGCACCCTTGGCCTGTGCCCTCACCGGGAGTCGAACCGCGACCTCCTGGTTCCTGGGTCGATGCTCAGCCGTTGAGCCACGCGGGCCGGGCCAGGATTTCTTGTTCGAATATTGATAGTCTCATTGTAGCAGAAGCCAGAATAAGAAGGCCCCGGGGCAGGGGACGGGCCTGCTGCGTGTGCGCTGACGGACCCCGCCCTCCTCTTTTTAGGTGCAGACTGGAATCCGGACGTTTCTCTTCAAGCTTCTTGTTCTGCAGCACTTGGTGGACACAAACGGGAAAATGTGGCTCCGGAACCCCTGCCACTTATACGTCGTCGAGATCCTGGAAGGGCATTCGGCACCGCCGGTGAGGTCCTCGAAGCTGGCGCGCGCACCCTGGGGCCCTGTCTCGGAGGGTGGGGTGGGCTCCTTCCTACGCATTTGCCATGGCCCCACTTCTGCCCCAGCGAGGCGGCTGAGTGCAGGGCTAGTCAAGGGAAATTCATCTTTAAACTTACTTTTTAAACTATGTTTTCATTGATTTCAGAGAGAGGAAGGGAGGGGGGGAGAGAGGGGTAGAAACATCAGTGATGAGAGCCGTTGCTCGGCTGCCTCCTGCTCGCCCCCTGCTGGGGATCGAGGAGCCTGCAACCCGGGCACGTGCCCTGGCCGGGAAGCAAACCGTGATCTCCTGGTTCATGGGGTGACACCCAACCACTGAGCCACACTGGCCAGGCTAAACTTCTCCTTTTTAATGCCTGGAATACAAGTAGTTTAATTAATAAGCAGCATCTTAAGTTTGTTTTGATTCACAGTTTGTGCTGTGAGCATGGAGTCGACACCGGCTGCGCCTCTGAGTGCGGTTAATTCATCCGCCGGGAGGCACCATCCTTCCTGATGCAGCGGGATGGGAAGGAGACGTTCGTCACATGAATTTCTTTTTTTAAATCCTCACACGAGGATGTTTTTATTGATTTTAGAGAGAGAGGATGGGACAGGGAGAGAGAGAGAGAGAGCGCGCGCGAAACGTCGATTGGTGGCCTCCTGAACGCACCCCAACCAGGGATCAAACCCAAAACCCAGGTATGTGCCCTGACTGGAGATCAAACCTGCCACCTTTGGGTGCAAAGGATGCTGCTCCATCCACCTGAGCCACACTGGCCAGGGCCGTCACATGAGTTTCTTAATAAAAGGGAGTTTTACGCTCACACACTCACCCGCGTAATGGAGAGATTTAGTTTCGGGGGCTCAGGAGGAAAGACTTCCTGATGGCAGACAGCAGCTACCTATGCCCAGAGTTGTCTACAGAAATCACTTTATGAAAAGTGGCTTTTCGCCCGGCCGACGTGGCTCAGTGGTTCCGTGTCCACGGCGTGGCTCAGTGGTTCCGTGTCCACGGCGTGGCTCAGTGGTTCCGTGTCCACCTGTGAACCAGTGGTTCCATGTCACAATTCCATTCGATTCCCGGTCAGGGCACATGCCCGGGTTGCAGGCTCGATCCCCAGCAGCAGGCGTGCGGGAGGCAGCCGACCAATGACTCTCTCTCGTCACTGATGTTTCTCTCTCTCCCCCTCCCTCTCCCTTCCTTTGTCTGAAATCAATAATAACTTACTCTTTTAAAAAGTGGCTCTTCACCAAGTTCTGTCCCACAGACATCGCAGGGAGGTTTCAAACACAAAAGCATGTTTTATGAAACTTAGTTGTAACCCTTTCATTCATCTCTCTCCTTTCCAGAGGACACGTGCCCCCCAGTTCAGTTTTCTCGACATCTTCCCAAAAGTCACCTGCCGGCCCCCCAAAGATGTCATCATCATGGAGCTGAACCCCGAGCAGAGCTGCGGCGAGCCAGGGATGGATGCCACCGAGTTCTGCAGCGAAACTTTCCAAAGACCTTTCCAGTACCTGAAACGTTTCCATCAGAAGCAGAACCTGGACATGTTCCAGTATGAAAAAGGGCGGGTGGAGGGCACCCCCGAGGAGTGCCTCCAGCTCTTCCTCCTCTACTGCGGGGTGATGGACCCGTCCTGGTCGGAGCTCTGGAACTTCGCCCGGTTCCTGAACTGCCAGCTGCGAGACTGTGAGGCCTCCATCTACTGCAACGCGCAGTTGGTCGGGGACACGTTGAGGGGCTTCAAGCACTTCGTGGTGACCTTCATGATTTTCATGGCGAGGGACTTTGCCACCCCAACGCTTCACACGTCCGACCAAAGCCCGGGCCAGCACGTGGTCTCACCGGATTGCGTCGAGGAGGAAGACACAGCGGGCTTCTCGCTCCGGAGGCGGTGGGAGTCGGAGCCCCACCCGTACGTGTTCTTCAACGGGGACCGCATATCCATGACCTTCATCGGCTTTCACCTGCAGCCCAACCAGAACCACATGGTCGATGCCGTCCACCCCCTGAGCGGGGAGGTCCTCAAGAAGGACGTCATGACGGTGGAGCTGTACCAGGCGCTGCTGCTCCAGCAGGTGCCCTTCAACGTCGACTACGATCGGCTGCCCAGACACGAGAAGCTGGAGCGGCTCTGCCTGGCGCTGGACATCCAGTGGCCGGTTGACCCCGACGAGACGTACGAGCTCACGACGGACAGCATGCTGAAGATCCTGGCCATTGAGATGCGCTTCCGGTGCGGGATCCCCGTGATCATCATGGGGGAGACGGGCTGCGGGAAGACCAGGCTCATTAAGTTCCTCAGCGACCTGCGGCGCGGGGGCGCGGAGGCCGAGACCCTGAGGCTGGTCAAGGTCCACGGGGGCACGAGCGCCGCCATGATCTACGGCAGGGTCGAGGAGGCGGAGAGCCTCGCGCTCTGCAACAGGCACGAGCATCAGCTGGACACCGTCTTGTTCTTTGACGAGGCCAACGCCACGGAGGCCGTCAGCTGCATCAAGGAGGTGCTGTGTGACCGCACCGTGGGCGGCCGGCCGCTGGCCGCGGGCTCGGGCCTGCACATCATCGCCGCCTGCAACCCCTACCGGAAGCACTCCCGGGAGATGATCGCCCGCCTGGAGGCGGCCGGGCTGGGCTACCGGGTGAGCGCGGAGGAGACGACCGACAGGCTTCTGGGCTCCGTGCCCCTGCGGCAGCTGGTGTACCGAGTCCACGCCCTGCCGCCCGGCCTGGTGCCTCTGGTGTGGGACTTCGGGCAGCTGAATGACACCACGGAGAAGATGTACATCCAGCAGATCGTCCAGAGACTGGTGGACGCCACCGCCATAGGCCCGGACGAGACGCGGGTGATCACGGACGTGCTCTCCGCCTCCCAGGGTTTCATGCGGCAGCGGGGAGACGAGTGCAGCTTCGTGAGCCTCCGGGACGTGGAGCGCTGCGTGAAAGTCTTCCGGTGGTTTTACGACCACAGCGAGATGCTCCTGGACAAGCTCGGCTCCTTCCCCTGCGAGCCCAGCGCCGGCACGGGCGACTTCAGGAGGGACCCCGTCCTCTGGTCGCTGGTGCTGGCCCTCGGGGTTTGCTACCACGCCTCCCTGGAGAAGCAGGAGCACTACCTCCGGGCCGTGTGCAGGTTCCTGCCGCGGCCCTACAACGACAGGAAGGTCGTGCAGGACGAGATCACGCGGACGCAGGACCTCTTTCTGGAGGGCGTGCCCCTGAGGAACACCGTCGCCAAGAACCTGGCCTTGAAAGAGAACGTCTTCATGATGGTCATCTGCGTCGAGCTGAAGATCCCGCTCTTCCTGGTGGGGAAACCGGGCAGCTCCAAGTCTCTCGCCAAGACCATCGTGGCGGACGCCATGCAAGGCCAGGCGGCCCACTCGGACCTCTTCCGGCGCCTGAAGCAGGTCTACCTGGTGTCCTTCCAGTGCAGCCCACACTCCACCCCGCAGGGCATCATCGGCACCTTCCGGCAGTGTGCCCGCCTGCAGCAGGGCAAGGACCTGCGGCACTACGTCTCGGTGGTGGTGCTCGACGAGGTGGGGCTGGCCGAGGACTCCCCCAAAATGCCCCTCAAGGCCCTTCACCCGCTGCTGGAGGACGGGTGCATCGAAGACGAGCCCGCCCCCCACAAAAAGGTGGGCTTCATCGGCATTTCCAACTGGGCCCTGGACCCCGCCAAGATGAACCGGGGCATTTTTGTTTCGCGCAGCAGCCCCAGTGAGAAAGAGCTCGTAGACAGCGCCCGGGGCATCTGCGCCTCGGAGCCCCTCGTCCAGAGAAGAATCCAACGGTACTTCGAGCCCTTTGCCAAAGCCTATGAGACAGTGTGCAGGAGCCAAGACAAGGAGTTCTTTGGGCTCCGCGACTACTACAGCCTCATCAAGATGGTCTTCGCCTCGGCGAGGGCGTCTAACAGGGAGCTCTCCCCGCGGGACATCGCGCAGGCCGTCCTCCGGAACTTCAGCGGCAACGACGAGATCCGGGCGCTGGACGCCTTCGCCGCCAGCTTGCCCGAGATTAGGCTCTCCCGGGAGGTGAGCCCCATGCAGCTGATCAGGCAGAACGTGTGCGGCGACCCCCCGGGGGCAGCGGGCGGAGACTCCGAGTCCCGCTACCTGCTGGTGCTGACCAAGAACTACGCCGCCCTGCAGATCCTGCAACGGGCCCTCTTCGGCGAGGGCCGGCAGCCCGAGATCATTTTCGGTTCCAGCTTCCCCAGGGACCAGGAATACACCCAGATCTGCCGGAACATCAACCGCGTGAAAATCTGCATGGAGACCGGCCGGATGGTGGTGCTGCTCAACCTGCAGAACCTGTACGAGAGCCTCTACGACGCCCTCAACCAGTACTACGTCTACCTCGGGGGCCAGAAGTACGTGGACCTGGGCCTGGGGACCCACCGGGTCAAGTGCCGGGTGCACCCTGACTTCCGCCTGATTGTCATCGAAGAGCGGGACGTGGTTTGCAGCCGCTTCCCCATTCCCCTCATCAACCGGCTGGAGAAGCATTATTTGGACATCAACACCGTGCTGGAGACGTGGCAGAAGGCGATCGTGCAGGACCTCAAGGGCTGGGTGGACAAATTCATCGACGTCAAATCAGAGTACTTCCTGGGGAGACCCGCCGGGTACAGCCCTTCGGACGCCTTCGTCGGCTACCACTCGGACACCTGCGCCTCCGTGGTGCTGCAGGTGATGGAGGGGCTTGGCCACAGGCCCCTGACCCAGGAGAGTTACCGGGGGGTACTGGAGAATGCCAAGCTGGCGCTGCTGGACTGTGCCACGCCCGACGCCGTGGTCCGGCTCAGCATGTCCTCCCTGGGCCAGTTCGAGGCACAGTCCCTGTCACAAAAATACTATGACCAGCAGCAGCACGACTCCTTCGCAGACTTCCTCCAGGCCCACCTCCGCACGCGGGGCCCGGAGCGCCACGCCATCTTCACGGAGGTGATTGTCTCCCTCTGGTTTTTCCCTCCCCCTCTCTCATCTCGCTGTCCTTGACCCCTGCTGTCAAAAATTCAAGGTTCTCCCCCAGTCCGCGCCTAGGAACCATAAAGGGGCATGTTGAGACCTCGGCTTCCTCTTCGCGTTAAGTGTGAAGAGACCCAGTTTGGTTTAGCTGAAGTTTGGGTGCCTGTGTCCAGGCAGAGCTCTGTGCAGACGGTGACTTCTGCACATATGAAGTGTGTTGTTTAAGAGCCGCGCTCGGGGCACGGAGCACATGAAAATACATTGGCACAGTTCTTATTTTTTTAAATGTTTTTTTTTTCTTCTTTTAAATTAATTTTTAGAGAGAGGAAGGGAAAGGCAGGGAGAGAGAGAGAGAGAAACATCAATCAGCTGCCTCCTGTATGGCCCCTGCTGGGAACTGAGCTGGCAACCCTGGCATGTGTCCCGACCGGGAATCGAACCGGTGACCTCTTGGTGCACGGGAGGACACCTAATCCACTGAGCCGCACCAGCCAGGCTCGGCACAGTTCTTGTCCTTGGTCTGCATACCGTGTAAGGTGGAAAGACAGACTCATTAACTTATGCCATTGATATCCCCAGGCAAAGACGGACAGCGCAGATCAGGCTCCGAGGCCAGACAGGCTCTTCCTTTAGAGTTGTCCCCCACACGGGTTGTGAAGTGTGACTGGGGAAGTATTATAGGCCCAGGTGCCAGGTGTGAAACAGCACAGTCTGTGCAGGAGACCGGGAGGTGATTACGGATGGAGCCTAACCAAGGCTGTGAGTGCCAAGAGGTGGGGGTGAGCGACCGTTGGAGAGACCTCATGAAGGGCCTCATCAGCGACACTGAGGAGCTCAGTCTTTCCTGTGTGGAGGGGAGTGATGGAGAAACGTGTGTTGGGATCGGGGGAGGGGGTAGTCTGACAAGAGACTATCATAGAAAAGGAACGCCAGTAGGGAGGCTGCTGTGAGCGTTCAAAGTAGATGATGGATGGGTGGAAAGGAGAAGTAGTTAGGAATAAACTGGCAGAGTGAATGACTGATCTCAGTTTGGGCTGCGGGAGATGGGGGAGTCTAGGGATGACTCCCTGGGTTCTTCCTTGGGTGGCTGGAGGTTTGGTTCATCACAGTAGACAATCCTGGAGTGAGCAGTGAGTGGTGGTAGGGGGGGTAAATTCCATTTGGTGCCCCTCTAACACCCAGGTAGACGTGAATGTCTTGCAGTTGGATGCAGGAATCGGAAGCTCAGTGGTAAGGCCAGCCTAGAGGCGGGGGGGTTGGCAGCTGCGAGATCCACATGCCCATAAGGAGTGTTTTGGTTACACTGAGTGGTGTGACCCAGTGGTAAAGGAGAATTGCTGACACTGTAGGAAAGAAGGGGCATCATCGGCTAACTCCATCCGAAAGCATGAAGCAAGGTTGCCAGGGAAGAAATGGCGTTCGTGTGGAGCCCTAAAGGATTGTCAGAATTTCCAGTAGGGACCAAAGCAGGAAGAGATACCGGAGTCTGGGAAGGAGACTCTGTCTTAAAGACAGGGTGTCTTCTCTCTAGTGCTTTCTGATCGTAAGTTCTGTTCCCCTCAGTGCTGCCTCATTTTTTAACAACTCTGGGTTTGGATTCTTTTCTGTCTGTGTGTCAGTGGCACTGCGTTGAGCCCATGGAAGGTACTGGCTAAACATCTTCACGTTTCCAGGATCTGAACCTAGGAGACGTGCAAACAATTTGCATTCCCTGATTTTGCAGGTTACTACTTTCTCCAGACTGCTTACCATCCATGACTGTGAGGCCTTAGAGTTGGAAGTAAATGGCAGGGCTCTGAAACCCACAGTCCTGTCGCTGCAACAGTTTGACACCGAGTACTCATTCCTCAGAGAAGTTCGGTGAGGTCCCCTGCCTTCCCTCCCTCTGGGCTTCATGTTTAGCCACACCGTCCGTCATTTGTGTGGCGGGAGTGACCACTGGCGCTGCCATCAGCGTTGATTCGTGAATGTGAGGACTCATGACTCTGAAAAGAACCGTTGTTAAATTCTCCGGTGACTCCGTCATTACCATGTCTTCTGCGTGGAAGCCCTCCTCTGAAACCCGGTCCTCGGATCTCATTCCTCAGCGTTTATTGGGGTTTACCCTTTCTCCCCCGGTTGCCTGCCTCCTTGGTAGAAGAGAATCCCACCTGGATAGTTTTTTTCCTACGCAACCCTTATAGTTCCCATTGCTGGGAGGGCGTGGGGGGGCTTTATCACCCACGTTTTAGGTTGGAGAAGTCACTTGCATAATTCCTTTTTTTTTTTCAGAAACTGCTTGACCAGCACGACCACATATAAGATCCTCATCATCCAGACGGACTTTGAAAATGGTGTCCACAGTGCCCAGCTTGTTGCTTCAGCCAAGTACGTCTTTTGATATTCTTGGAAGTCACACGGGAAACCTAAAATTTATCCGGGAGCTCCTAAAGAGTTTCTTCCCTGAAAACGGCGCGTTGCCATAATACACCTAGAAAAATAAAAACAGTCCTTCCCTTTCGTTGTCCCAGTCGTGGGCTAGAGAAACTAAGAAAGAGAAGCTAAAGGAGGACAGCCCACAAACAATACAAAAGCAGGGAGCTGTGGACACATCACTAACAGAATGTCAGTGGGATGTAAACAAGTTTCTGGAAGAAGCAGACACGTCTAGGTCGTTACTAGTTTTAAACGATAGAATTTGAATTTATCGGCCTAGGGCAGTAGCGGGATGTCCATGATTTCACCTGTATTCATTGGATTTTTAAATAGCGTCGGTAGGGGAAATAGGATGCTTCCAGAGCTGCGTTCCTTGTAGCTTCCTGACGCAGCTCTCTCTGGCCACCGGCTGTCTGTCCGCAGAATCCTGCTTCTTGAAGTGGAAAGTCCTGCTAGACTTGCCCTTGGTGGGATTAGGGAGGCCAATCGAGGACCCCAGGTTAGGGTGTTGTGTTGAATTTTGGTTTCCCCTCTTAAAGAGAATAGAGGCGATCACAAGAGAGGCTGGGTGTCCCCTCTTGGTCTCCTATGTGACCCCTGGAGAAGGTGCCCCTGCCAGTGTGGCTCAGTGGTTGAGTGTCAGCCCATGAACCTGGAAGTCACAGGTTCGATTCCTGGCCGGGGCACAGGCTCGGGTTTAGGCTCGGTCCCCAGCAGGGGGCGCGCAGGAGGCAGCCGATCGATGATGTTTCTCTCTCATTGATGTTTCTCTCTCTCTCCCTCTCCTTTCCTCTCTCTGAAATCAATAATAAAAAACAAAACAAAACAAAAAACCATATATTAAAAAAACACACAAAAAAACAGACAGAAGGGAAACCGTGAGGTTGAAAGTGCCAGCTCCCCAGGCACCCTCCAGCCACTTTGGGTTTTGTATATCGGCTTTGGTTTTGCTTGTTTGTTTTAAAAATAGGTATTCTGCTCTAAATGAAATCAACAAGGTACAAGGAAGCAAGGACGGCATCTTCGTCTATTTCATCACGAAACTGTCCAGAATGGAAAGCGGAGCGTCCTACGTGGGATTTCATGGAGGTAGGACCGAAAGTTACGTAAACCGCGTAGGGAGCGATTGGAAATTAGAAGGTACCACAGTCTCTACAGTATTCATTTCAGGGCGGTTAGACTGGTTACCACCGACTCCTGCTAAAAACACTCGTCTTTGGACGTGTGGCTCCAACACGGCGCTTCCTTTACTGACGTGTAGATAGTCACCCATTGGCCCCTGGCCCCTCGCCGCCGATTGTGTGGGGGTGCGGGGAAGGCAACCCCGACTAACCTGCAGGGACACACTGATGCCCATTCCTGTTTCGGGGTGCGGGGCAGGCTGTCCTAAATCAGCTCCCTCTCTCGCTCTCTCCCCGCCCTCTCCTGAAGAATGGCTCCCCGGATAGTTACTAGGTGAGAAAGGTGGGATCCTAGGAAGAGGTAAACAACAGTTCACTTTAATAATCCCACAGAGCATGGGAGGCAGTCCCGCCAGCGCCCACAGCCGCGTACTAGTTATGACACGGCAGGTGGGACACCGAATACGCCAAAGCCCCGCCGCCCTCCCTAGGCCGCCTTTCGGGTTGCTCCTTCCCGGCGGGCACTGATTTCTGGTCAAGGCGCTGAGACGCAGCCTGGGTCGGGGCCTCTGCGCGTGTTCGAGGGTTTAGACTTTAAGACACGGGTCGCTCACCCGCAGCAGTGTGTCCGCCGCTGGGGTGAGAGCCACGTCCCTGCCTCTGATGGATGCGCAGAGACTCCAGTGGCTTTGCTCCCACAGGGCTGTGGCGGTCTGTGCACATCGACGACCTCCGGAGATCCACGGCCATGGTCTCAGACGTGACGAAGCTGCAGGATATGACCATCAGTCAGCTGTTTGACCCAGACAGTACGTCTTAGGGAAAGCCGTTGGGGACAGGGGAGGGCAGGCGTGGTGGCCAGGCCACGCCAGGAGTGCTGTGGCAGACGTGCCGTGGGAACAGGGCCACCACGCGTCTGTTACCCTCAGCAGCTCAGGATGGAAAAAGGCCTGTGGGTGTGGGAGGCCGTGGAAGTGAGTGCCTGTGTCGCTTTCTGTTCCTGCCTTGGCCCTCAGAACGCAGCACTGAAGCGAGGGGTTCTTGCTGGAGGACCCTGGGGGCGGACCAGAGGCTGATCTGCATGCCCCGGGCCTCTGCTTGGGGACCCCCCTGCAGCTGGGGGCACGTAGCTCACGGGCACGGAGCTGGCGCCCAGGCCGTCTTCCAGGCAGTAGCTTGAAGGCATTGCTTCTGTTGCAGCCACGGTGGGACACGGGGCCAGGGACAGCCCTGAGGAGGTGATGGAAGTGGACACTGACGAACCAGGGGCCCCGGCCGAGGTGGACATGGAAATGGACATTTCCAAGGCAACAGAAAGCAACGCCTCTGAGCCCCTGAGAAGCCATGTGAGTTCAGCTCTCGTTCCGTGGGCCTCCCGGGAGCTGCTGGGCGCCCCCGGGAATCCAGGGAGGAGACACAGCGGAGGGGTTAGCCCAGCACCTCTTCCTTCCGCACTGTGTGTGCAGGTGACGCCCCCGGGCAGGGCCTGACGTGGGCCCTTCCCGCCGTCTCCTGGCCGAGCCCTGGTTCTAAGAGGAGCCGGGCCGGTGGATGACGGGGACCTTTGCCCAGGCTGTGCCCTGCGTGTGCCCTGGGCCCCCATGTCCAGCTGGGCCTCGCCCACGTGCAGGTGGCTCACAGGAGCTTGGCTGTGTCCGTGACAGGCGCCAGCCCTGGACAGCGGCAGCCTGCTGCGCAGCTGCATACAGAGCGCGGTGGGCCTGCTCCGGGACCCGAGCGAGCGCAGCCAGCGCAACATGAGGCGGGTGGAGGTTCTGCTCGGCCTCCTCGCCGAGGACACGGGCGGCGGGGGCAAAGGTGAGTCTCCGGGGCCTCGGCGCGGCTCGTCCTCGGGAGTGGGCCTGCGCCCTCTCCAGCTGCTCCGGACCTGGCCCGGCCGCGGGAAGGCCGCTGCCCTCCAGGTGGCACCGCGGGGCCCAGCACAGGGTCCTGGCAGGCGGCCAACGCACGTCCCCTCTGCCACGTTGCAGCCACTTTCTTCCGCGTGGCCCAGATGCGCCTCCACGACCTCCTGAGGAAGCAGGAGGACAGCTCTGTGCTCGGCTGGAGGCACTGGGTGGTGCAGGAGGCCTCCAACCCCGACGCCCTCCAGGAGGCCGGCACGTTCAGGTACCTGATCACAGACGCCCGGAGGGGCGGAGACGGGGCTGTGGCGGGCGGTGGCGGCGACCGGCTGCCAGGCGGCACGTGACAGGCAGGGTGGATGACAGGCAGGCGGCGGGTGACAGGCGGGCCGGCTCGGGTCCCCTCCCCACGGTGGTCAGGGCGCCTGATGGTTCTTTCTCTGAGCGATTCAAAGTGGCCTTTTTTTCTCCTCTCTCTCAAAAAAAGTACAAGATGGGCTGGGTGGCGGTTGGGTGGGGTTTGCCGACTCCTCCCTCCCCTCGCGCGTGTCACACCTGCTCTCGGAGGCTGTAACCGTTGCTGGCACGTCAGGGGCCACGGAGCGGGCGCTGTGTCCGGTTTTGAACCGGGTGACCCGTGGAGGGAGGGAGAGAAACCACTTCCCCGACCTCGCGCGTGGGGCGACCTGATAGCTGCGCAGACAAGGCCTGGAGAGCTCCCTGTCGTCTGTGGTCCTTTCTCCATAAAACCCCTTTCTTGGGACTGGCCCACAATGACCTGTGTGGCCCGGACCCCAGGGGGACGGCCCACCGCCCCTCCTCGGCGGGCCTGTCGTCGCCCCCGCTCATCGCTGTGGCCCGCGGCTCCGCCGTCGGTGACCGAAGGTTCCGCTCAGCCGCAGCCCCTCGGGCCCGGCCGCCCCGACTCTGCCCGACGCAGCAGGAGCTTAATGCAACCGCGGGGTTGTTACCACGGGGGTTTTTCTATTTTCTTTTTCCCCCAATTTTCCTTAATTTCCTTCCCAATTATACTTTCTGAGTAAGGAATTTTGTTAGATGCAGACCTAGGAAGGTTTTGATTTCCCGTGGCTGCGCCTATGGACTTTACTACGTACTTAATTTTACGTGAATTCTCCTTAAAGCCCGGGATTTTGGTGCCCCTTCTCCCCGCCGTGTCAGCTACTCAACTTCCCTGCTTGCCGGGTGCCCAGAGGGGTCGGGCAGCCCCCCTGCCCCCCTCACTGTTCGCTGCAGCCTTGGGACCGGCGGGTCGGAGCTGCATGCATTCAACTCTTGCGCCTGGTGTCCGGCGTCACATAGAGCTCTGGAGCCAGCTGGCCCCTGACCACAGCCTTGGGGACCGACTGTTCACCATCCATGCGTTTGGGACTGAAGCCCTTTGGAGTAAAGAGTCCAAATCCTGGTGGTCCTTACGCTCGGGGTTTTCCGACGCCCAGAGCCGAGTCTGCACACCTGCGGGGTGACAGCTTCCCCCGTCAGGTGCCGTCAGGCCCCCCCGCAGCCGGCGTTTCCCTTTCCCTTTCGTAGCCTTGAGCTCTGTCTCTAGTTCGGCATTTTTCCCCCCTCGGATCAAGTGATCTCTGTGACCACTGTCACCCTTTGTTTCCTCGGTAGATGGTTTTGAATTCTCTCCAGCTCCCTATGTACCACTAAAAACCAAAGTGTGTATTTCTTCTTTCGAACGTAGAGCCTGCACTTTCCTCCCCAATATTAATTAAGCAGCAGTCGATTTCTTATGCTTTACCGCCAGAATTTTTAAGTGAATTATAGCTTATTATGTATAAACATAGTTATAGCAACAGGGTAACGTTAATACAGGCGATCAAAGTTATACGTCAGTACTCAGATCTAGGGCACAAAACCGCCCGCGACAAAGACGGACTCGGACAACCGTGTGCTTCCTGCCGGGGCCGCTCTCACCCGCCTGCGCCCCCGTCTCCCCGCTGCAGGCACGCCCTCTGGAAGCGGGTCCAGCGTGCTGTGACCCCCCTGCTGGCCAGCATGGTGTCTGTCGTCGACAGAGACGGCAACCTGGAGCTTCTGGCCACACCCAACACTCCATCCTGGGCGCGGGAGCTTTGGATGTTTATTTTCAGGGACGTCAAGCTGCTGCACATCCCTCTCGTGGAGAACAGGACCAGGTGACTCGCGGACGGTCCGCGGC